CCTCCCTGTGGCTGTGGGAAGTAAAATGCCTTACGCTTCCCTATTCATGGGCAGGGCAGTGAATGAAAAGTAAAGAGAGTAAACTGGAGTCTCAAGTGTAGTTAGGCAGAGCAGGCTTTGCCCTGGCTTTCTGCCTGCCCAGCATCTGAATGTAAAAACTGCCAATATCCTCCTTGGCACAACACTCTTCATACCACCTTCCCAACCCACTACCCTATCACAGATAGTCACACACTCGGCTAGAAAGTTCTGTGGTTGATATTAACAACTTACATTTGCCAGCGCTTTATGGTTTAGAAAGCCCTTTCTCATCTGTTCTCTCATTTGGCCCTTGTACCATCCTTGTGCAGTAACCAGGGACAGCCTTTGCTTGTCCCATTTTACCCATTAGGAAAGTGAAATTCAGAGTGATTATGTGACTTGCCAAAGGCTTCAGCGTCAGGAAGTTACTGGCTCCAACTTAGTCATCTGCCCACCCCCTTCACAGGCCATATGCCCTGCACATGGAATGAGGTTTTCCAAAGAAAAGCATAATGTGTATGTTCTACACGTAAGATTATTTCAGCCAAATGTCGGATAGTAAAAAACTTCTCACCTCCCTTTCCAAGATCCTTTGCTTAATGTTCAACTATGTATACGGTTCCCAGGAAAAGGAGGGGACATGTCAGTCTTTCAGTTAGTTATCCAAAAAGTGTTTATTGTCATACCTTAACCCTAAGTAATAAAAAATCTTATTTAACTTGAGTGTTTGCCCAAATCTCTAATTTCTTAGGTTTGTTCAAACCAAAGTTTCCGTATTTGACTTGTTGAACAAACTCAAAAGGAGTCTGGAGGCTTCGGGTAGAAATAAATGATAAAAGATTTATTCAAAGATCTTGGAGTTTGCAAACTGGGAACACAGATAGGTAAAAACCCAGAAGTGCCACAAAGAAGAAGGAAAAGTGAAAAATTCTTATAGCAAATGTACATTCTTGAGAATTATCACTCCTGCATTCTTAGCCCTAGGAGCCTTTTTAGTAGGCACAGCCATCTTCCCTTGAGACAGACACACATTTGCCTAAGCCGGACAATTAGTCCTGTATCTTTATTCAAACCCCAGGCAAGGGGCCATACAAGCCCACAAAATGAATATTTTTTAAAAAAATTCATGTTGGTACGTTCTCACCTTCTGGTTTTAGTATGAGTATCAGGCTTGGAACCAAGAAATCTACTTTGTAACTGAAGAGTGTTCTTTCAAATGAGGGTCATCAAAGGAAAGCTCTTGCTTGCTTCTTTACTAGTTGTGTCAGAGTTAACAAAAGCAAATTATGTTCAGACTCCTTGGGATGATGTTCTGGAGCTAACCTGAGCCATTCCAAAGCTGCAGCCCTAATACCTGACTTCCGTACCCTATGGATGTATCTGGGAACAGGATGCACCTACTTGCTGCTCACGCTTCTGCACTAGTCTTCCTTCTCAGAAGCCAAGCTCCCTGGGAAAGAGGGTAATGGAAGATCACCAGTCCACACCACAGCCATTTGACAGGGTTTCCCAGAAGTCTGGAAAAATGAGAAAGCTAGACTCCCTCCACTTCAGTTTGCATCTGTGTTTACAGAGCCACTTCATTTCAAATTCTTGCTCGACCACAGTTATTCTTTAAAATGAAATAAAATAAGCAAATCCTAATAACATTAAGACATTTCTGCTAACTTCTCAATTTTAAAATGATAGCTGTGAAACTATAGCATTAGAGGTCAGAATAGTGGTCACCAGTGGCCTTCCAATAATAAGGGAGCAGGAGGGGCCTTTGGGGGTGCTGATCATGTTTTGTTTCTTGATCTATGTGTAGATACAAGGTACATGGCTGTGTTCCGTTTATGGACATTTTTCAAGTTGTACTCTTATGATCTGCTCATTTTTCTGAATATATATCATTCTTTAGTAAAATTTGTGAAGTAGAATCAAAATGTTGCTTAGTTTGTTGCTATGAAATGAATTTTTCCTGTCTTCTAGCTTGGAGCTTTAGTTACAACTTGATTTAAGATCATATTTCATCTCAAACTTATTTTACCAAGTGGATTAAATGGGTTCATTTTGAGACACATATTGAAATAATTATATACTTTTAATTGTTTGGTGATTTAGATGTTATTAGGTTACAAAGGCTTTTTTTAAACACATACAGAAAAGCTGTCCCCAACTCACCATTAAGTTGATAGTTTTTAAAAACTTGCTAAGGTTATTTTATGCTAATAATTAAAAATATAAAACTAGGGGACTGAATTTGGTAGGAGTATGACCAAGAACACAGAAGGAGGAAAACTTTTAAAAGAATAAGGATTGTCCTTCCTCTTAGGTAGTAGGAAAGGATAAATATATAGTTGCCTGCTAAAATGGAGAAAAAATTAAGGATGCTCACAAACGATAGTCTTGGTTTCTCCAGGGAACAATGAAACAAGGGTCTGTACTAAGAACAAATGTTGGGGTGGGGCTGGTAGTTCAAGGAAAAGGGAAATAGGACATAACATTGACAAGGTAAACAAACATGGCTGAAGGTCAAGAGAATTGAATATACTAGTGAGAGTGCAGTTAAAATGGCTGGTAAGAGTTTTCACAGCTTGGGAAGAGGAGATAGGAAATACCTGATAAACTATGAGAACAAAGACTAGAGGTCACTGAGGACAAATTGCAGGCTTAATGGGAGTGAGTAAGAGGTAGAAAGGTAAGTGGCTGTGGGTAGAGAGGGTAACTCACGGGTCAAAATTTTGCAGGTGGCATAAATTCATTTGATGACTGGATTCCAGGTGTGGCTACATCTGTAGGTTTCTGATACAGAGTGAAGTTGAAGATCATTGGAAGAGAGATGGATGAGAAATTGTGAGGTCAGCATGCTAACTCAGTCATTATCACAGATACTGAAATCATGAGTTTGATGTAGGTAAGGACATGGGGATAGTTCCAAGGCTGACACAGAGTTTCAGAAACACAATTGTGCACAGGCAACAAAGTAAATGATATCCTGGTCAGGGCCTGATTTAATCAAATAGCAAGGCAGGCAGTTTGTCTTCAACATTTATCACCTTTGCTCTGTAGCATTTTTTCCTAGCTTTGTTCACCTACTCTCAAATGGCCTCAGTGCCCTCACGTAGCCCTCTCTGTACCCATTCCCCACTCTCTGCTTTTGACTATCTAAAATCCCAAATGGTCCTAAGGCATAAATGGAAAGTTCTCTATTTATATGCCACTTCTCCCCACTCTGTATTTTGACAGGGCTTTCTAATGGCAAATCCTTACGAAAGTAATCACTTTGGGGCCAATTCCCTTTAGAGGTGTCTGCAAAGTTTTAAAATTCCAGCTGAAGGGAGAAGTGCTCTTGCTCTGAACATCTTTCTCCCATATTGATTCATTCTTTTAGCCTAAGATTTTAACCATCCCCACAAAATGTGAGTTTTTTGGAGGTTAGGGCTGTCAATACAAAGATATCCACAAAAGAACTAACTCAGTCCTTTTTCTGACTAGTGTGCAAGGCAGGCTGTAAGTTATTGATTCCCTCTGTCTACTCCCTGTGCCAGGGAACATCACCATTTTCAATATATGCTATGATGTAACACAGTTTTGGAAGCATTGATATAGTAGACATTCAATAATGTTAACAGCTGACATTTATTGAGCATCTACTATGTGCCAAGCATTTCACATATTTTTTCATTTAACCCTTGCAGCAATCCTATTAGGTTGATACTGTTATTCTCATTTTTGTAGATGAAAAACTGAGAAGACTTCAAGGTCATAGCCATGGGAAGTAGCAGTACTAGGATTTAAATCCAGGCAATTTGGAACCAGAAGGTTTTTATAGAAGTTTGTTTTAAAACAAACACCCCTATAAATGGCAGAACTAGAATACAAGCCAGTCACACTCTCTAGGTTAGCTATAGGATGACAGCAGCAAGAGCTAAACACGGGAGCTTTGTCTCTCCTGCAGCACCATTCCCAAGTTGCCTGGGATTCCTTTAGCAGTGGACACATAGCAGGCCCATTTCTCTATCTTTTAAAAAGCATATGCTCACAACTAAGAGATCATAATTTGTTGTACTCCATCTGAATCCTCAATATAATGAAGAACCATATAATTGTGTCACTATATGGGTATAATTTGTTCAAGTCCATTAAACCGTATTGCCCTCCGATAGCCTGCCATTCTTTCATAAAAGGCCCTGGGGCGCGCGCGCGCGCACACACACACACACACACACACACACACGTCTAATTTTTTTAAATTCTCATTTTGCTTTGGAAAAAAACCATCAACGTGGGTCTGACGGTCCATTTACCAGGCTTGGGGGAGGCGTGTAATGGAATTGGTTTTTACTCAGTATTTTTATCACAGGCTGGGAGGTACAAACCGCAAAGAAAAACTAGTTTCTTCTTGGCGTGTCACCAGCTCTGGGCTTCACTGATCAATCACGTCCAAACTCATTTACTACTTTAAGGTTCATTTGCATAAGACTTCGACCGAAGCCGCCGCGGCCAATCTGCGGTAATCTCGTGTGGAGTCGCGGTCACCGAGCCCTTCACTTTCCCTGAGGATTTCCCACACCTCTCCTGTCCCCAAGGGAGCCCGGTGGTTTCTCGCGGCTCTGATTCCCTCCTGGAAGGATGCGAAAGGAGGCCGAAGGAGCCGCGGCGAGAAAGGAGGGTGGCAGGCGCGAGTAGCACCCGGGCTTCAGTTCACGACCCCATTATTCCACGGAAAAATGGAACATTCCGCTCCTTCCGCCCGTAGAGGGGAGGTGGGGGGAACCCTTCGATCCAGTCTGGGAGAGGCGACGCGGGTGCAGCCACCGAGATCCGGGACGCCAGGAGCCGCGTTACGGGAATCGCAGACGCCTGGCGTTCCGCCCCCTCGCTGTCGGAGGCCGCCGGGCCAATGCCCGGGCGCCGGGTCTCACGGTGGCCAATCAGCGTACAGACCCCAAGTTCGGGGGCGGGGCGCGGCGGGGGCGTCCCGGGGTGGAGTCGAGGGGGCGCATTGCCCTGCTGCGGGAGGAGGGCTGCGCGCGGTGTCTGCGGGAAGGAGTCCGCAGCGAGCGAGAGCCGGGGCGAGAGGCCCAGAGGCCCGCTGAGCCGCGCGGGGAACCCCCGGGCGCAACCGGGCGGGAGGCCGCCGCCGCCAGGCAGACAGGCCCCGTAGGGCCTGGCGCGGAGAAGGACGTGCGCTGTGGCGACGCGGAGGAGAGAGGCGCCGCGGCCTGAGGTGAGGAGGAGCTGTAGTGAAGAGAAGGGCCGCGTTGCGGGAGGGTGAGAGCTCGGTCGAGGCGGATGGGCCTGTGGACCTGGCACCCGTGGGGGCAACCCCTCCCTGGGAGAGAGGGGCGTCCCGACAGCGCGCACGCCCCAAACTTGTTAGCCCCAGCCTGGAAATCCCCACATTCCTTCTCCTTAGTCCCACACCTCCGGATTTGATTTCCTACAACGTTGTCACCTATATTTCAAAACGCACAAAAAAGTACACACACACACACACACACACACACTCACTCACTCACTCACTCACTCACTCACTCACTCACTCACACTCCCCCCTGCCCTGCCTTCCCTCCTTAAACTCTTGCCTCCAAACTCCCCTCTGGATTATACCCCTTTTTGGTTACCAAATCCCCACTTTTTTCTTCCCCAATCCTCTTTCCATCTCACTTTAAATTACATTAACCAGGCACTGGACTCTTTAGTTTTCTACCCGGAGGTTAATTTCTCTTCCCCAAAGCTATCTTTTCATCCTTAAATTGTAACGTCTCAACACTGCTGAAAGTTCACCATACTTATATTCTTAACTGAAATCTCTGTCCCTCTCTCTCTCTCATCTCTCTCTGTCTCTTCTTTTTCCTTTCTTATGTGTACGGGTCCTAATGAATCCCACATACCACTGTGTCCTAATGTCACCAAGTCTGTCTTTAAAATCTCACCCCGTCCCCCGAAGCTTAAAGGTTGTTATAAGCAGCAAGGTTTTGTTTTGCAGTCGATGAACAGCATTTTATTCATAAATCTAAACTAAAACAAAAAAATCACAGGTAAAAAATAAGATTTGCCACTTTTCTTTTTTTTCTTCAGAAGGAAACCCGTTTCCGTTTAATTTGTGTAGTATTGGGCATTTCAGCAATTATACTGCTGTAAAGTAATTATTATTATAGAATGTCAGGATGAATCTTCTAAAAAATTGGAGTGTTTGATTTAGTCAATGCAGCAAACAAACCCTTTAGACTGTGACTGCCAGCTTCGAGTTGGAACAACTCTTAATTTGAAATTACTGACTCAAATCATCTAAACTGTTTACCATTATCTTGATTTCTTACATTCAGGTTAATTCCTACTTGAAAGTATTTTGGAACTATAAGCTGGAATACTACATTTATAGAACCAACTTGATATTAAGTTAAATTGTGTTTTCCAAGTGTTTCTCTTTTGGGATAATTTTGAACACTTGTTTTTAATCACAAGTGGAAGAAAATTACAGGATGGAGACAGTATCAGAAAAGCAGGATAAAGTTTGTAGTGGAATTTTCCCCTCCTCTCAAGTCTGTATTATTGACAATACTATACATGTTTAATTTTCTCATAGGTAATTTAGAATATTATAAATATTGCTGCCAGCTAATTTAATACATTGTCTTATGCAATGAAAAATGTGCTCGGCGTTCTCATTTTTTTGCTTACAAATTGTAGTGTTTTTAGTTTATTTAAAATTTTTCCCAAGGGCATTGCTGTTAAGTTAAATGTTAAGGTGAATGTCAATTATTATATACCTGTGAAGTACGTGTTAAGATACCTATCTTATAAAAAAAGGGAAACTCAGTGTCCTTGTGAAAAGGAGGCGCAGTGTAGTGTCCCTGTGAAACCTAGATCTGTATAATTCCAACTCCTGTACTGTCAGTCATTTTGTCATGCAAACACATTTTTCGTAGAGGATCTACTGCTGCCATTTGGTTTGGGAGCTGATTGACTCCCCATAACTCCTCTGCAGTGAGAATTTTTTTCCCGCAGAAGCTATTTCAGAGCTTCCCATTTTAATGGGAGTCAGTATTCCCTGGCCCTAATACATTTGCAGCTGGGCTAGAGAAGCATGGAATGTTCTCACTGCCTTCTTCATTTCTTTAATTGCAAAGGCAGTCTGATCAGAATTGAAGTTTCTACTGACCTTTATTATTTTACACAGCAAATACTAAGCACTTACTACTGGCTACAGGAACTCACAAACATGCATGAGGTGTCATCAGGACCTTCAAAGAGTTTACAGAAATTGGGTTGACAAATGTGAAAAATTACAAGGATGCAGGGCAGTTTTAATTAAATGCAGAGTGATCATTTAAGCCTTGTAATGATCAAAGGATTTACCAGAGGTCAGTCTTGAAAATGGGGGTAAGATTTGGATAAAGGGACAAATGAAGGGAAGTCTATGTGGAAAGGTCCAGAAATAACCATGGTATATTAATTATAATAGCCAATACATATACATAATGCTTGTTTTGTGTGTCACTGTTCTGAGCATTTTGTCCATATTAATTCAGTTAATCCTAGCTATAACTTTATGAGGTAGATCTTATTATCCTCCTGTTACAGAGAGGGATACTGAGGCACAAATAGGTTAGCTTACCCAGTGCCACACGGCTAATAGATGGTAGATCCAAAATTCATACCTAGACAGCCTAGCTTCAGACTCAGCTCTTAACCATGATACATATACTGCCTCTTCATGTAGTATACTTGAGTGACAGTGACTAGAATAATATGGCCATACCAGAAGGTCTTTTAAAACTCACTCTTAATTGTCCATTATGTGCCTCAGAGTATGTTAGTTCTAAGGATATCTAATGATACCAAGACATACAAACAAATCACAGTATACAGCATCATGAATCCTATTAGGGAGCTATATACAAGTACATTGGGAGCAAAGATGTTTGTGACAGAGGAAATTTCACAGGAAAGATGTTTCATCTGAAGTTATAAACAGTGCAAAACATAGTCCAGGTAAAAGATTCTAGAGGCAGGGAATAGCATTTTGTAGAAGCGGCAAACTCTGCAATCACGAAGTTTGTTACAGAAAGTAGTTTCCTGTGGCTTGAGCTTAGACTCTAGGAGTGGCTAATACGGAATGAATGATACAAGGTAATACCAAGTGTGAACGGCATGGTGAGGTCAAGTAAAATGAGCTTAAACACCTGCTTTGCATTTGGAAAACACAAAAAAATAATTTCAGCATAATTGGAGTAGAAACCAGATTGCTTGCTATTCTCCAGAAGTATAGTGGTGGGACTGCTTGAGGGAAAAGTCTGAGTAGAGGGTGGTTGTTTTTTGTTTGTTTTTTTAAGAATAGACTTTAACCTTGGAGAAGATAGATTGGACAGGCACACTGAAGCCAATTTTTTAGGTTCTTAAACAGCTAAAATAGTTGGCATTGTTATCCACCCTTTAAAAAGCTTTTTTGGAAAAGAGTGACAAGCTTAAAGTTTTGTTTTAGAGATTCACCCACCAATAATGTTCAGAATAATTTGGAGGGAGGAAAGAAGCTGGAAGCAGGAAGGCAGTTATATGTATTAAGGTGATCAGTGCCTAAATTAGATTGGTCATGATAGAGGGTAAAAAAGAAGATATAATTTGAAAGAAGACGGGATGATTTGTAATTGAGAAAAGCTAGATAGACTATAATGGATAGATAAGAGACACCATGGACCCCACTGACAGGCAATTCAAAAAGGATGAGTGTGTTTAGCTGGAGGAAAGATAAGTATGTACTGTGATTTAAAAAAAAAAAAGTACATTTTTATGTATATATGTGTTCATGAGCATGTGTATACGTGTGTATTGTTTTTAGAACTATTAAACTTACTTGTGTCAGAGGCAGAATATTCAAGACGATGATACATGCAAGGTCCTAGCCAGAATTCTTGAAATTATTTTGTTTGAAGGTAATAGTTGGTCTTACGTCTTCAAAGGAGTTGGTATTTTAAAATAGTAGAAGATGCCAAATACTTTTGGGTTTATCATAGCCAGGAAATAAAACCTAGCAGAGACTTCAGTAAAGGAGACAGTCAAGTAGATAAAGGAAAGAATTCAGTCACCTGATATGGTTACATAGAAACCAGGAGATGGGAGAAATTCAAGAAACAGAGATGGTCAACAATGTGAAATGCTTCAGAAACACTTGTGATATTGTCACATTGGCTACATTTTTTTTTTAATTTTGTGTCTATCTAATATATCTTAGTGAGATTTAATGAGAATTAAGTTAACTAACTGATCATGAATAAGAGAGCTGTATCTCTCTTGTGGTTATAGTATAAATTATTGTTTTAAAGCTGCATGTGTACGTGTCCAGAGCAGGAGCTTCATTCCTTTCAGCACGATAAACCTGTTGCTCTGTTAATATTGAATATTCTGCCTCCAAATTATCATTTTCTCTTTAGTCAAACTCATGAGTTTCACCCTTTGCTCTAAGGTAGATTGGTTTCATCATTACTTCTGAATAGTTCATTTCATGTTGGTCTTCTGTATAATCTGCTTTGTTTGCATGTTCTGTTGTATGTATTCCCCACCCCCACCACCTAACCCATGGTAAACTCATCAGAACTGTGTTTCAGTTAACAGCTCTGGCTTATACACTGGTATGCTCTGGGATTTTGCTATTGGTAATCTTCACTTGACAATTAGAGTCAAAGATGATGTATAGCTCTTGTGTATGCTATTTTCTCTGTCTAGAAAACCTTTACTCTTACTTCATTCCTGGGCTTTCCTGGGGCCCTGTCTGAACTGGGTATTCTTTATGGTCCTGTAGCACTCTGCATATTGTGCCTCTCTAAACTTTGAAATTCTTAAGAGCAAGAACTGTTTTTTTAGCTTCAGCTATAGTGTTTGTAATGTTTTATTTCTCAAGCTACGGTGAGAACATAGATGGTCATCAAACTACTCTTTAAACCTTTTCATAAGTCTAAAACAGTCAACGATACTTTGTAAAAGGCCTTCTTCTCTTAACTCTTAAGGTCATAAACATTCTCTGTCCAATGCTCTTAAAATTTTGCTTTTGCATTTAGGTCCTTAATTAGGAGTGTATATATCTATGATGAGTAGGGCTCTTTATTTTTTATTTTTTATTGTGAAGTCAGTTGTCCCAATACTATTTATTGAATAGTTCTTTATTTCACCAGTGATATCAAATGCCTTTTTAAAAATCATATATTGAATTCTTACATACGCTTGAAT